GATGCAGGTCTAAGACGTTTACCACTTTGGTGAAACCCACGAGCACGGGTATGGTGCTGACAAACCTAGAAACATAATCGGGGCGAACCGGGATTCGAACCCACAATCATAGGTTTCTGGCCCGTGCCCCCCTCAATTATGAAGAATTAAGATACTGTGTATGGTAGAAATTAAGAAGATGCATTTATAAACAAATTCCTATTTATGAATTTTCGAATGAGTGACTAAATGTGCCTTACTATTACTTTAGACCTCACTGGCTCCTAGCATGACTTCCTCATGCATGCTGCTAAAGCACATGGTGACATGACCACACCAATCTGTGCTTAACTCCCTTCTTATTAAGGTTGATGTAAAATTGGCACATCATCAAAAAATGAAACATAACATTCAAACCCAGGAAATTATATAAACATCCTAACCATAACAATTATTTAATATCGTATATTGCTGTTGTTATATGTAATACATAATTTGTGGAAATTCTAGAAAGCAGATTTGATACCTCCTTAACCAATTAAGCTATCATAACTGATAGAAAACAGAAATAAACTTGCATCACTTTGGGCTTTCCTCCCACATTAAGCTGACATGCCGTGATATAACTGGAACACTGTTAAAAGCGGCGTTAAACCAAACTCACTCACTCACTCACTCATTGTGGGGCATGGGTGGTGGGGAAACCAAGTGGTTAAAGCATTTGCTTATCACTCCAAATGAGTGAAGCCCATTTCTGGTCTCCCCTGCCGTTATATTGCTGGAATATTGCTAAAAGCAGCATAAAACCATACTCACTCACTCACTGACTGAAGGGCAGGACCGAAAACTTAGAAAGTAAAGCTGCCGAACACAGTCACTCATCCAACTACTCTCTGTGAATGACATTGCTTAAAACCTAACCTGTTTCGTGCCACCACTGACATCAAAGAGTTCTCGTTTAATTTTGTCATTGGAGAATCGTGATAAACATGTTGTGTTTTATCTAATAATAAAAAATATATCATGTATGTGTATCATCCAACAAGCATGCATCCTTTCCCTTATTCTTAAGGAGACTATAGTGAGTGAACGTGTCGTTAATGCTGCAGTCAGTTTTATTCCGGCTACTAATTACCAAGTCTGGACCAGGCAAATCTGTGGTGGCTAGCATGACTCCCACGTCAGTTTGCTCTTTCATCTAGCATGTAGCACTGGGGACCTGTTTTGCCTTGGGATCCAGTCAGGTTGATAGTAAACTAAATGACGACACATTCCATGACATATATGTCTCTAACAGATCCCCAGAGGACGGTAGTTTGGGTGCATTCAGTCATCTGTGTGGCCTCCCACTCATAACAACAGGCCTTTTGCATGTAATAGGGCTTCAAGTTCCTTGCATTGTGCAAAATATCATAAATGAAACAGGGCAGTTCTCTAAATACCTATCTGCATAGAACACACCTAAATTTTTCTGAACATATTATCGAATCAGGAGGTTCAATTGCCTTGAAAGCAGATGACATCAACAATGATTTAATCTTGTCACCATCGCATTCCAGTGCAAATATTTTCTCGGCAGTCACACAGGAAGAAAATGTTACTGAACATATTTCAGTTTGGTTCAAATGAATTTAATTAAAAAACAACTTCACATTTGAATGCACATAATGCATTCCACCCAAACAAAACATTCATGCAGAATAAATATATATCTTGTTTGAGTGTTAAAAACATTATCAGTGCAAAAATGCCTACGACTGAGAAGTTATTTCTTAATGCAGCTGATCATGATCACCAATGTCTTGTTGATTGGAAGGTATACTGAATGGGCACAATCTATATAATAAAACCGCCTCCGTGGTCTTGTGGTAGAGCGTCCGCCCGGAGAGCGGAAGGTCCAGGGTTCGATCCCGGGCCGCGTCATACAAAAAGACGTTAAAAGATTGTACTTGTTGTTACCCTGTCTGGCGCTCGGCATTAAGGGGCTAAAACAAGGACTGGTCGGCTCGGAGTCAGTATACTGTGTCTGAGTGGGGTATTCATGTTAAACTGCGGCATGGTATCTCAGTGAGCTAGCACTATAAATCGGCATCAGGTCCGGACTAGTACAAGCAGCCACACACACACATACACGTGCATGCACGTCGCTATATAAGTGCAATAATCTTGGATGCGACGTTAAACCCAATTTCACCTCACCTCACCTATATAATAAAGGGTTAACTATTTCAGGGTATGAATATTCAGTCTTGATAGAGTTAACGTTCAGGCACACAAAAACGTCTGGCCTGTTTCACAGGCCAACTAAGAATTCCAGACAGCAGTCATAGTTGCTGTCCAACCTCACACAATCCGACTTAATCACCATATTTAAAATATTGTCCTTGTTGGTTTTATCACTGGCAATGCAGTTAGTCAGAGGAAATGACAGATCTGACCAGTCTCTGTTTACCAGATTGATAACATTGCCACCGTTGTATATATCTTCTTGTAGACCTGCCGCCCTCACAGAGTATACAAGTCCATCATTTAGTCATACACATGCTGGTATCCATAGGTCTACCTCTTTGGGTTGCTTGTTTACGTCTGTAAGTGTATGGGGTCAGTTTTATATGAAGACCCTACTGACACTGTAAATATTACATTTACACAAATACCTTACATAGAGACCATATTTCCCATTTTTTAAAAGAAACTGGCCAGCATTTAGTTATCAGCTGATCCAGGCACAGCTAAGGGATGCAACTTCAGTGAATAATAGCACTTCATACTAATGGTCCAGCAGTACTCCTATCTTTATATGAGTACAAGGTATGTTTAATCTGAGGTTTAATCTAAAAATATATTAGCTCAAGAATACAAAAATGAGAAGTGGAAAAATTTGAAAAGCCAGGCTCTATTATTTCACTCTAATGAGTGCTGAGGTGTTTTTTTACTACTGCCAAGTCTGAAAACCCCATTTAGAAAAAAAATATATCACAAATTGTTTTCATACATATCTCGAGACAAGATATTAAACTCACCACGACAGCAATTCTAAATAATTGTTCGGGATTTATGACAATGAATTATAATTTTATTTTTTGGGAAATGCCTACCGACCATATGTTTACACAAAAGGCAAATAATACACTTGAAAAGAAATTATTTCTTTTCTTTTTTCAACTTCCAGAACAAATAAACCAACTAACTGACCAAAAACAAAAGGCCTAAGTAACGTGTTGATAATTAACCATGTGCATACAATACATACATTCAAGACTTGACTGACAAACATGGCAGTAGCTTCAGTAACATGTTTGAAGAGTATAAACAAAACTGAGAATCTCTTATGTTATGGTATTATGTTATAAAACCAACTGTAAACCATGACACACACAAATACACTGGCATGGACCAGCTGAAAACAAACCTCTGGAACAGAACTTGGTATCATATGAAATTTACTACTAGAAACATCACAGACCATCCGATTCTTTCATATTACTATAGATGATCTGTCATGCCATGACAGATAACTGAAGAAATATGAAAGAATCGAGTGGTCCTTAATTTTTTCATGCCATGCCATGACAGATAACTAAAGTAATATGAAAGAATCGAGTGGTCCTTAACTTTTTCATGCCATGCCATGACAGATAACTAAAGTAATATGAAAGAATCGAGTGGTCCTTAACTTTTTCATGCCATGCCATGACAGATAACTAAAGTAATATGAAAGAATCGAGTGGTCCTTAACTTTTTCATGCCATGCCATGACAGATAACTAAAGTAATATGAAAGAATCGAGTGGTCCTTAATTTTTTCATGCCATGCCATGACAGATAACTAAAGTAATATGAAAGAATCGAGTGGTCCTTAACTTTTTCATGCCATGCCATGACAGATAACTAAAGTAATATGAAAGAATCGAGTGGTCCTTAATTTTTTCATGCCATGCCATGACAGATAACTAAAGTAATATGAAAGAATCGAGTGGTCCTTAACTTTTTCATGCCATGCCATGACAGATAACTAAAGTAATATGAAAGAATCGAGTGGTCCTTAACTTTTTCATGCCATGCCATGACAGATAACTAAAGTAATATGAAAGAATCGAGTGGTCCTTAACTTTTTCATGCCATGCTATGACAGATAACTAAAGTAATATGAAAGAATCGAGTGGTCCTTAATTTTTTTTTGAATAGTATAGTTCCGAGCAAAAAAAGCAATTGTTTCTTTGTTTAATATTTCAAATAACAAATCCATGTGGCAAGGGATTAGGGCACAGATGCCTTGAAACAAACTCTGCGGAGAGTAAATAAAGTGACAAAACCCTTTCCACATCCAACAGAAATCTCTGTATAAAGCAGCGTCGATTGTACAATTCTGACAAAACGACTATATCATGAGCATGTGTTTATTAATCACTATCAAATAGTAATGATACCAGATGTTCTTGAAAAGGTGAGCATATCCTGCCCAACCGGTGGCACCCATCACAAACTCATGCAAAGGCAAGTCAATTGTTCACCTGAAAAAACATGGGAAAATATGGTCAAAAGTGGGAATGGCATCAGACATCATTCTTGTTACTGATGCATCAAATTTGGAAATGTCCTCCACATGTCTACCATAAAACTTTTGCTTTACTGAGGCCTTGAAAGTTGTAACCTTGATCAAACAACTTCTGAGCAAGAGTCGTATAACACTCTATAAAATCTTGGTAGAAAGAGTATGCTCGATTGTATCTCAAAAGATGCGAAATGTAAACACCAAAGGCTGGAGCTGCTGGAATATTGCTCGACATGAAGGGAAAGTTGACTATTGGAAAGTTGAAGTTATCATACAGTCTTGTGGAGAGTGTTTTGTCACTCTGAATCTTTATGCATTGATCTAAATATAAAACAGGTGAGGCAGTCTCACTGGTCTCCTTTGTTTCTAGTTGACTATTGGAAAGTTGAAGTCATCCCTCTTTTCATACAGTCTTGCAGAGAGTGTTTTGTCACTCTGAATCTTTATGCATTGATCTAAATATAAAACAGGTGAGGCAGTCTCACTGGTCTCCTTTGTTTCTAGTTGACTATTGGAAAGTTGAAGTCATCCCTCTTATCATACAGTCTTGCAGAGAGTGTTATGTCACTCTGAATCTTTATGCATTGATCTAAATATAAAACAGGTGAGGCAGTCTCACTGGTGTCCTTTGTCTCTAGTTCAGCTGGGTAAATCAGTGGAAGGGAATTGGCTATCTGTTATTAAACGATATAAGATCATCGATATACCTGAAGCTTAAGTTAAACTTTTTGGCCAAATTACCTTGTTTTGACTTCGCCAATACGAACAGTAATTCCGATTCATATGCATAGAGAAACAGATCCGCAAGAAGGGGAGCACGATTCTGGATTACTGCTGGAACACTCTTGTGTACATACAAAGTCATATTTTGAGATACACATTCTTAACATAATACAAACTTCACTATCAATATTTGTTACATGTAGTCTTTCTAAGATGGTTGCTCCTCCCCGAGTACTGTAGTAAAAAAAAAAATTAGATGAAATTTTGAAAAAAATATCCACTGCATCTAGTATCTTGAGAATGCTGGTTCAGCGTCTAACAATGAAGACACATATTACTGCCTGGCAATGGTTTATCAGGGCCAGGCTACAGGCTGACATACCTCCCTGATAACTACTGATACTGTCTGTAGTACAACATTCAATCTGCTCCTCAAAATAAACTCAGGTAAACTTGATAAACCAGAGAATCAACATCACTCTCACTTCCATACTGTCTCCTTGACGAGTCTCAGGATACTGCTGCACACTGGTGTAATCTTTGTTGGGGAAGCCCAGAAGGCTAAGTGAATTTAGATAACAGTTTAAGGTGGGCTTAAACTGACAATGATTAACAGCATACTCCCACTGCTACATACCATAATCAGAAGGGGGCTTTGTACCAAAATGGACTGTCCGACTCTTCTACAACTGGTTTCTTGTTACAGGGTAACCTGAAATACAGAATCCATAATTCTTCATAATATAAACTAAATTAATAATATTGCTTCATGTAGCTGGAAATAATTTGTTTTTACTAAGTTTCCTCCCTAAGATTAAGGGCGTGAGTGAGTTTGGTTTTATGTCGTTTTTCACAATATTCATGCCATACCATGGCAGTGGACACCAGAAATAAACATCAACATGTATCTATCTGAGGGATCAAACCCAAATCCTTGGTGTGAACAGAAACTGCTTTAACCCCTAGACTAACTCACCAACCCACAAGGACCAAAAGAAACTTGAATATAAGTTGAGATGTAGAAGATACATCTTTTGTATTTTGTACGCTGCACTCAGCAATATTCAAGCTATATGCTGACAGTCTGTAAATAATCAAGTCTGGACCAGACAATAGAGTGACTGATACAATGAGCATCAATCCACACAATTGGGATATGATGAAATGCATCAACCATGTCAGCAAGCATGACCACCCGATCCCGTTAGCTGCCTCTTATGACAAGCATAGTCTTCTTTTACAGCAAGCATGGGTTGCTGAAGACCTATTCTACCCCTGGTCTTCATGGATCAGGAGACACATCTAGTTAACAATAACAAATATAGAAACATTGTGACAAGCTCCCCTCGAATATACTACTTCCATTACCAAAATACTGAAATACAAGGTGGAATCATAGTGACTGTATTCAGATTTTGTGTGTGCAGTTGTTGCTGCTGACAGCTACACACGCATTGAAGGGTCATTAAGTAATTGTGATTGAGTGAGTTTGGGTTAACGCCTCTTTCAGCAGCATAGAGTTGTATCATAGTGTGTCAAGATCACTGTGGGAGGAAAGCCCAAATGATGCAGGTCTCAGACAATTACCACTTTGGTGAAACCCATGAGCATGGGTATGGTGCTGACAAACCTAGTAACATAAACTAGAATTACCATTATTTTTGCTGTTCTTCATGTTAATGACATAATAAGATGTTCTAAAACCATCTCTCAGACCGTCATTTCCGGTTTGTGATGTCATTTCTGGTCTAACCGTACCTCTGGTTCTGATGTCACTTCCTCTCATTATCTCTCTTGCCGAACATCAGTTGTGGTTCTTTATGGTGTCACTTCCTGGATTTTCAGTTTGTAACATCACTTCTGGTCTAATTTCATCACCATGACCTCATTTCCTGTCTGATATGACATCATTCTATGATGTCAAGTCCTCATCGTTACTTCCAATTTCCTCTTGGGTTATTATGTCACCTCCAGTCAATCTGAATCAAGCTTGTGACCAGGTTTGATTCAGCTACTACCCTTCATGTATCCTACAGTCAGTAAGATGAGCAAAGGTGTACCTACCTTCGGAAGCTGCTGATGTCAGATCCTCTCATGATCTCAGGGTAATTGTGCTTTCCAGCATGAGTCTGACTTGAATAGTCTAGGATGTGGAGCTCTGGGACTCTAGCCTCGGTAGCTATTGCAAGAAGGAATGCAGCTTTTCTTGATTTCTGGATTATTGTGTCCATAGCAAGAGGTTCGATCGGTTCTGCTGTGAGGGCTGATAGTATCACTTACAGGTTTCATTTTTGGAAGATCTTAGGTGATCGATCATCTTCAATGAGAAACGATCGCATGAGTTTATTTATAGTTGGATGATCTTTGATACATGTGTAGAGCCGATCTGTCACCCTCTATTTTGCCATGGCAAACTTGTTATCTTGGCTTAAGTGGAACAGAAAGTTTGCCACCATGGGCAAAGTTATTGTTCTATCTCCCAGATCTTGTCATTGTCTCCACTGGACGAACTTGGACCATCGATTGTAAAAGAGGAGGGAGGAAGATGGTCTCAAGGACCTAGCAACAGCTATTTAGATAGATCCAGAGAAACCGAGGCCTGCATCTTTAGCAAGATAGCTTCCAACCAGTTAGATGAAGGTTTGAAAGACCGTTTTGGAAAAGGTTGGTTGGTTGGTTGGTTGTTTAATGCCCCCACTCAGCAATTTTCCAGGCGTATAACGGCGGTCTGTAAATAATCGAGTCTGGACCAGACAATCCAGTGATTGACATCATGAGCATCAATCCACCCAATTGGGATACAATGATATGCATCAACCAAGTAAGCGAGCCTGAGCACCCATTCCCATCAGTCGCCTCTTATGACAAGCATAGTCAGATCCAGAGAAGCCAAGGCCTGCATCTTTAGCAAGATTGTTTTAGAAAAGGTCTGACCTGGGTTGATGTAGAACATCTCGACAAATAGGTAGATCGAAAGGATCTTCCATAACCAGAGGTAATAGTCATGGGAACCATGATCTGCTTGGCCATATTGGAGCTATCAGGATGATCATACAGTCTGTCAGCTTATCTTTCAGATCATCTTGTCTAAAACAGTCCATAGAGGATATCCATAAGGAAAAAGGCCTGTCCAATCCATCGATAGGGCATTCACTTGGAGGGCCATCAGGTCTGGTACAAGGATGACATAGATAAAGTTGATTGTTGCAAAGAGATCCAGATGTGGGGTGTCCCATACTGATGTTATCCAGGCAAATACTTCTGGATGAAGTGACCACTCCATTGTCACTGTTCTCCCCCAACCCCTCCCCAAGAAATTGGAATAAGTACCATCTCCCGTTGACTGCAAAGCGTAGATATTTGTGTCAGGCTTGATGGTTGGGTGCTTGGAGATAAACATCTTGTAGATGAGCCAATCTACCGTTCTAAGGCTTGATTCCTCCTGGAACTTGGGAGGAGGGGCGAGAAAAGATTTCTTAAGGTCCTTGAAATCTATAATCATCCTCATGTCCAGGGAGCTCTGCTTAGGGACTCACAAAACTAGAGTAAAAACCCTTGCTGTCGTCGGTTTCTTGGAGTTCCTAGGTGGCATACTTTTCTGGTAGTCTTCCAATGGCCAGGCTGGCTTCCTCTAGTTTGGTACCCTCCAGATGGAATCGTTGGCCCACTGGCTTGGATACAAGTACAAGATGGTGACGGAAATGTAGCTTGTATCCCCGTTAGAGATGTTGAGAACCCAGTGGTCAGCTTCCAATATTTGGCGTATAAAAAAAGACACCCTCCGACTGGACCCATAGTCAGCACTATGTTGAAAGATGGTAGATGTAGATCGGGAGTCCATAGATAAAGCCAGGTTGATAGGATCAGAAACGACTGGATAGTTTGGTATGACTTTTGAAGTCAGAATCAGAGCTCACTCCAACTTCTAGGTTTGGGACTCCTTCAGCTCTTACCATGTTATTCGTAGTCAGGTTGATGTCAGGACTCCAATGTATTTTGAGGTCTTTCCTTTCTGCTTCCTTTCACAAACATCCAAATTGTGCACCAGGCATGAACTGCACCTGCAAATTTTGAATTATGACCTAAAAGTCGAGATGTCTTCTTGAATATATGGAAACATGCATTATTTTATTTCAGAATTAAACATAAATTAAAACCTTTGACAATATTCATTAATGCAGTAGTCATAATTTACTTGACATAAACATAGCCATTTCATGGAATTCTCATGCAACATCACTTCCAGTGTTGTGTATTGGGATCTGTATTTTATCTGTTTCTGTCTCAATTACACTTTTTCACATTTTAGTTTATCCTTCATTAACTAACGGTACTTTACGTTTCATCCTTTCCTTTCATTACATTCTTCTTGTACAATGTATCTAATCATATGTATGTATCATGTTTTCATGTACAGGAACAGCCCTTATAAACATTCCCCAACATTGGTTCCTCAATAATGGAGCTTTTCCCTACAGGGTCGGAACATTTCCCTTGCAGCTTTTTGCATTTAATCCTGATATTTATACGGTGTTGGAACTAAATTTGGGCGGAATAAAATCATGCTTACATAGAATCGCTGCTCACCGGACAATTCATTTGGAGATGTCTCCATGTGTTGAAATGATATCATTCTGAAACAACAATTCCTTAATGCAGACAAATTACTTTATAACAATAATTTGTTCATCTGGTTATTTGATAATCCTGACAAATTCACTTGGAAATGTACTGCCGAGCTTAACAGGTTTCATTGTACTGTAAGTGAGCCTTAACATCTCACACAGACTCCTTGACAACACTTAGGCTGTGGCAGGTTGATGTTAAAAAAAGGAATCAGATTTGTACTGCTTTGCATGTTTTCATTAAGGTTGTGTAAGAAGAAATAAAACCTACTGTATAATCCTGTCTATAGAAATCGTGCCAGAACCAACATGAAGGCGTACGCAGTCAAAAGGCGGAAGGAAAGTAGAGCCAGTTCTGTGTGTTTACACAGTAATAGTAGTATATATACAAGCACTAAGTGTATGCTCTTTGCACCAGATTAACATCAGGTTAACAAATGTGTGCTCCTACACAAATTTACCCAAACAATTGTGCATAGATATGCTAAACAAATTTCCTTCTCGGTACTGAATGTCAGGAATGGTAAATCAACAATGTTAGGACCAAGACAATCACATAAGCCTGACAAACTGGTAGTAATGATGGCACGGGAAGACACATTGCTGAAGCAGCATGAAAGATGTTCCACATCTTGTAATAAGCATTGCCTTTGAAGTGATGTGGGGTATATGGCAAGTTCCTGTTGTGACTATGCCCAGCATCTGTTTCATGAACTGTCTCGCTGATGAATTCATGAATTAAGTATCACACACACTGTCTAGAATATTCCCATGCTTTAACTCTGTTCTTGTTTTATGTACTCTGATGTATAGTGTTAGTCTGTCAGGCAAGGATTGCAGGATGCCAATAAAATATAGCTGTACCTTAAGGCTTCTGGATGAAGAAGAAAACGTGTATTAAGTGTAATAAAGTCCACATGGCCTGGAGTTCATTTATGTTACATACAGTGTACACATGCATTAAAGATTTACAGTCAAGATAACAGTATTACATTTACTATGAGATCAGTAATTAAGCATATTCTTAAAGTCAATGATGATCATGATGTCAATTGCTGAATTTTTGGGTCAAGATTTGACTATTTACAGACCACCATCATATAACTGCAATATTGTGGTGGGTTGCATTAAACAACTAAACAACAAAACAAACAAAACTGATGATCTGGGACTAAATACAATCTTTGACTACTTGAGCATTCATGAATTTGCATAAATTTGCTAATGAATATACTGGTATCCATGGTCTGATAATGGAGGAAGTCCCAACACAAGCGGTCTTATTTGTCCTTGATTTACTGAAGCACCATATATATGTGTACTTCTCCTATCCTTTATTGATTTCTAATGAAGTTGTTCTCACTGACCCCAGCCATGGTATCCAAAAACTTTATATGATACTACTTTGGTAATATGCGTGTACAAGTCTCTTGAGATACCAAGAAAAGACTTCAGCTACTGGCCCTTCTGGGGAATCAAACCTGGGTCTTTGGCATGATGAGGAAACACTTTAACCACTAGGCTACCATTACTTCTCTTTTAGTCACACAGGGTATAGTATATTTATTACTAACTATTAATGAAGTTAATATTTCCCGTACTTTTGTATGATGTATTGTACTTCTGCTCAAGAGAATCAAGATGAGTATGATGGCTGACATTCTGTTCATGTCATTATTTGATTAAAGCATGAATCCTCTGGCATTATGGGAATTGGCAGGCAGAAATCTAAGGCACTGTATTGCACTGTGCATACAAAGTTTGGTTCAAATCCCAGATTTACCCTGATTATGTTTCGAGGCTTGTCAACACCATACCCATGCCCGTGGGTTACGCCAAAGTAGTCAAGGTCTAACACCTGAAGCTGACACACTGTGATATAAATTTAAAAACGGATCAAACTTGTGTTAACTCAATTCTCACTCTTGATCACGTGAAACTACCAGGTAGACTTGTTTCTTGACTAATAAAGAAGTGAGTGAGTTTTAAGCCGCTTTTAGCAATATTCCAGCATTACCACCGCAGGGGACACCAGAAATCGGCTTCACTCATTTTACCCAGGTGGGGAATCGAACCCGGGTCTTCGGCGTGACAAGCAATCACTTTTAGTCAATAGGCTACCCCACCTCCTCATAAAGAAGGGAGGCAGGAAAGAGGAAAGACGTTAAGCATACCCTCATAAAGATTCAAAGTGAGATTTCAATGTAATAAGAGAGAATTTTAACAGCTCGTAAAAATACAACAACAAAAACTCATTCACCTTTAAACTCAAACACAGATCTATTAAGTTTAATGCATTTTTAATTCAATCCACACCTATCATGACCTCCTGATAGCAGATATAAGAAGTGGATATCCCAGGAGAAACAGTGACGACAGACGGGTACGAAAGAGATGAATGTAAGCCTTTGGAGTATTTTTGCATTAGTAGTGATAAACAGCTCAAGTGCATTTCTTTTGTAGAACATACAAGTACTCAGTGAGGCATATCGTTTGAAGTTATTCGAGAGCATCTAGTCAGTGTATCAACCAATCAGCTGACATTAGAACACCTCGAACAGACAGTGTCTTCATTATCAGCTGAGAGACAGCTGGAAAGGTTCCAGTCCACTTTTTCCATGGTATCGTGACTGAGTGGTGCACTTGATGTACACCTTGTTTGCAAAATAATGTTGTTGCAAATTCAGAATTTGTGTGAAAATAAACATATTGGAGGGCGGTCTAGACATTAGAGAGCTAAGAATGCCCATGTGGCTTTGACGTACATTTAGTTGTTTTTAACACCTGTCAGAGATTGTGAGGGTTTGGTTTACATGATCAATCATACGTTCAATTAGCGTGCTACAAGTGGTTGCAGAAGTAATTCTCATCAGAGCTCAAGGTGGGATCACACACAAAACAGGGAGAAGAAGAAAAGATGGATAAATGTTCAGTACTCGATTATCTCCTCACATACATCTGGATGTGTTTAAAATCTAACAAAGATGAGCTTAGTTGCTATGTCCATTGTGAAATACTGGATTAAGATATTATAGAAAAGACAATTCTTTTGTGCAAGTTTTTATTGGGATCAAGTCGGATTAAAAAGTATTAAATGGTCATTTATCAGATTTGTTTAGATATTTTTCAAATATGACAAGTCAATGGCAAAAATACATCAGGCTTTCCAAAATTTGGTTTACAGCTTACGCCAACCATAAATCTATCTCTCTTTAAAATCGGAAAAGCAGTTAATATTTTAATCCACTTAATGCAGTGGTGTGATAGGTCAAAAATAGTACTATGTCACTGTAGCCCTCCTTGTTAGGTAGTCAATGGTTTAAGATTGACTGCATTGCTATTCTTATATTTATTTGATAAATACAGAGGACAAAAGTATTAACAAATTTAAAGTAAGTAACAAAATATTTCTAAATGTCCAATAATGAATGTAATATTGAAGAACATATGTTGGACTGACTACACAACAGTTAAATTTACTTTACACAAAGTTTCAGCTCATGGCAGCCATACTGTAAATCAGATGCAAACGGCAAAGCTGTTGAACGATTTCGGATGTCATCATTGGTGCAAACAAGTATGTGAAGTTTCAGCTTCAATGGTTCAGCGGATTCACAGAATATTTTGTTTGCGTAAGGCAACGTACCGTATTTTCTTGAGTATAGTGCACACTTTTTAAAAAAAAACCAGCCGTGTAGAAGGGTGTGTGCATTATACACGCAATAATGAGTTTTGATGGTTTTTCCCCCCAATGGAGACATTACCGTGAGCACGTAACACAAATTTGTACTGACCAAGTTTCTCATCACCCGTTCGTTTACTGGAATTTGCTGAAGGGGTACGGTGTAATTTTTTTCTGCGCAAAATATTCAAATATTTCTTTTTTTCCAAAATACTGAATCCGCTAGAGGGGGTGCGCATTATACTCAAGAAAATACGGAGTTTGAGATTATTTAGGTCAAAGTGCAAAGGTCAAATATAGGTCAAAATTTGAAATATTGCAAAACAATAGAACATACATACTGTGTCCCACTACTAACTCCACATGTACCAAAATGCACAACATATTTAACAAAAGTGATGGTGTCATGCCATAGGAAGTTTCAGCTTTTCTATTCAAGGCCCAATTTTCAAATATCTTAAATATATGGAACATATATATATTGAGTGCCACTACTAACTACGCATGCACCAAATTGAAATACATTTTAAAACAAAAATGATGGAGTTATGACCACAAACAGTTTATTTCAATATGGCTGCTGTGGAGGCCATATTAAAAAAATGAGATTTGAATCTCTTGAACGATATGTCAGGTGAGCTAAAACTGTACAACAATAAATATAAATAAGTTCAACCACACAACAAACCTTATGAAAAATAAGACAACATAACAACATAAGATATCTTTTTAAAGAACAAAAACATATTTGGAAATGTCTTTTTTATTTAATAATTCTTCAAGAAATAGAAAAGTGTGAATCTGGCCTTACGTGAGATGCAGACAATATGCCTGTGTAGATCGATGGCTATACATGCCACAAAATGTTTTAGAAGTTCTCTTTCAAGATGTCATGTAGAAGTAAAGATAAACTGGCATTAAATTTCTCTTCAATCATTACTTAAAAAAACTTTGATTCAGATGACAACATGTAATTGTGTGTCCCAATCCTTATAAGTGAGTGAGTAGGATTTTACACTGCTCTTCGCAAAATTCTAGCAATATCATGGAGGGCAACACCAGAAATGGGGTCCACACATTGCACCCATGTGAGGAATCAGATCTGGGCCTTTGGCATGATGAGCAAACACTTTAACCACAAGGCTACCCCACCGCCCTTTCCCAACCTAAATGACAATACTCTTTATCAGACAACAAACACTGTAACATGCCGTAGAAATCTTCATAACAAATTTGTTGAGTAAGACATCAAACATCCTCCAATAACAGCCTATCCTTCTCAAGTTGTTATTTAGAAAAGGGAGTTTCAATGACCAAATGTTTAAAGCCAGGTTTAAGTTCACCTTTCCTCTACCTGCCCTGCAGGCCTGGAACCACTAGAGGTCTACTCAGTGTTCTGTCAGTCATCATCCTTGCTGGTGTTTGTGTAGATTCCTACAAGTGAGTGGAATCATTCTCAGGAGTATCAACCTCTAACTATAGCAGCCATCTATTTGTCTAAGAAGGTTGTCTTTTATCAAGCTAGTTCTCTGTTTTCACGGAGATGAGTATACAGGCGGGATGAGTCACTGTCCCCCACATGGAGGCCCCTCACAGAGCTTGTTGTCTGTATGAAGGTGAACACCTCACTCTCCATGTTAATCTCCCAATACCATGAACACTGCTGCCAAACCCAGCGTTTAACATACATTTGGTTCTTGATGGTGGAGGTGGTTATGAGATTTCTTTTCTTTCTAATGCGATGTTTTCATACTGGGAATATTACTGAATGCAAATGGAATGGAGGCCCCATTGGTTCTTTCTCTCTGGGAGGTTGGTATGGTCCTGCTGAGTTCGTCTTTGAATCGTGAAATTTGGATGGTGGAGTATTACAGAAATGCTATAAGAAGAAGTTCATCTGTCTGACACCTTTACTTTTGGAGAAGTATCTCAGTGCCTATCAACAGTCCAGGAAAAAACTTACTGTCTGGAGAGCAAATCAGGGGCCTTTGACCGTGACCCCTGTAACAAAACCACAAACTGCTGTTTTCTGTCTCTTTCATTCATCGTCTTCTTTGCATCACCACAGGGGTGTTTCTGTTGGTTGCTGTGGTAACACGTAGATATTATGGCTGATTGGGTGTGAGAGGTGTTGCTGGGTTAAGAAAACGAGAAGAACAGATTATCCAGGTGAGAAGTCTACGACCTTAACCAGGTGAGGCCAAATGGGAAGAAAGCTGTTTCACTTCAGCAACCAAAGTAGATAGATGTAGAGGGTTCACATGATGCATCAATCTTGCATGTTTCTTCGAGTCCTATGGATTGCAACATTTCTAATAAGTCAGTACTTGATCCAATAATCACTCAAGGAACTATCATTTCATTTTTTCAATATTTTCATCAACTAAAATGTTCATGATGTTATTTGTGTTATCAATATCTAAAATAGCAGGCTACAATGAACCTCATGAATGACCATCAGAATTGTGCTCAAAACTCTCCAAAGAAATTCTGAGAATCAGTTTTCATAGGCTAGGTGAAACCCTCAGTGTCTTCGTGTAGATATCACTTTGTAAATTGTCTGTGCTAATGAACTCATACATTACCGTATTCGACGTAATAAGCGCCCACAGCGATATTTGCTAATATATTGGCTAGTGAACAATCCCAATTGGCACCCCTTCCGATTGATCAATGTACACAAGACTTATTCGCGTATAATAAGCAATCGTGTGTTATATGCACCCTTAATCATGGGCAATTAAATTCTGGAACAATATATCTGTCGTACATAAACATTTCAGGCTGTCAGCATAAACCACGAAATGTATCTTTCAACTCTGTTTTTTCACCAAAATAATATTCTAATAAGAGCCCCCTATTTCTAATTTTGAGAGCGCCCTGAGCGCTTATTACGTCGAATACGGTAGTTACTCCACAAACCTATCAATCATTTCACTGGGGTGTACTACTGAATGGGATGACTTTGTTGCCGTAAGTCTGCATAAAATAAATGTTTCTTGGACACATTTTCTCAAAAGCGAGATCTTTTATATATTTTTAATCAAAAGAAGAGTTATAATGGAGGAACATGTTTTATTTTCATGCCACCAAGATTACCAACAAACACAACTGGGCACACATACAACTTGGCTCTTTAGAACAATGTCAGTTCTCAAGCATTGTCCAAGAAACATTTCCTCTTTTAGCCCCAGATAATGCACCATTTGTTCCTATATATACTTCAGAAGGAGATCCAGCATTTTGTAAAGAGAACAGAAACTTGAGAGATTGACACAGACAAGAGGTGTGTGCCAGTGTACTGGGGCTGTTGATACATTGATTAATGAAACCATTCAGGATAGATACAGATACAGAATAACAAAGTACACAGAAAAACATGTAAGCCTCAACCATGTTAATCTGGGTATTTCACAGTTGCTTCAATTCACTGAGGTCACACTTTATCATTTTATAGTTTCCAGATTTTTTGCTGACCCTCAAGTTCGCAACAATAAAAATAAATATTGTAGTTCAAAATTACATATTTTTCATTTGTCATAAAGTTGTCATCATTTTGTGGAAAAATAAATACCTAAATCTGTTTAAAGTGCATTGCACTATATAAACTATACTTACAGTCACTTATATATATGTTTACATCTGCCAAAAAAGACTTTATATATTAGGTATATTATTTATTGGCTAGGGCATATACATGGAAAGCATTTTATTACATATTGCTCAAAAAGTTAAGCTATAATTTGTTAGATTTTTGTACTTGTATATCTTTTATTTTATATTCATCGAAGTTAGAGTGGTTGGATAAAATAATAATTAAGAATGTGTGGACTTAAGGAGCTGAGGTGAGGTGAGGTGAGGTGAGGTGAGGTGAGGTGAGGTAAAATAGGGGTTAACATCACATTCAAGATTATTCCACATATATAGCGATGTGCATGCGGGTGCTTGTACTAGTCCAGACTATTGCCGATTTTATAGTGCTAGCCAACTGAGATACCATGCCGCAGTTTAACATTAATACCCCACTCAGATACAGTATACTGTCCTTGTTTTAGCCCCTTAATGGCGAGTGCCAGGCAGCGTAACAACAAGACCAGCTTTTAACATCTTTTGGTATGACGCGGCCAGGGATCGAACCCCCAACCTCCCGCTCTCAAGGCAGATGCTCTACCACAGTTTAACATTATTACCCCACTCAGATACAGTATACTGTCCTTGTTTTAGCCCCTTAATGGCGAGTGCCAGGCAGGGTAACAACAAGACCAGCTTTTAACATCTTTTGGTATGACGCGGCCGGGGATCGAACCCCCAACCTCCCGCTCTCAAGGCAGATGCTCTACCACTAGATCATGGAGGCGGTCGTGGACTGAAGAATGTTTTGCTGGTCTTTGTTAAGAGTAGTTAACTTTTCTAAGATGGGTATTTCATAGTCTAAATGTTTCAATTGTACTGTCCAAATAAAGGAGGGTGTGTTGAGCATTTGATTGTGGTCGCCCAGTCATCTGAGGCAGATCAATTCTCTGTGCAGAGGTGCCTCCCTTGGCGACATGAGAAACCTATAATTATGGGGTCAAATCCCAGTTCGCCCTCATTTTGTTTCTAAGTTTGTCATGCCTGTGATCATTGGTTCACAAACGTGGTAAACGTCTGAGACCTGCATCACTTCCGGCTTTCCTCTCACATTAAGTTGGATATAACTGGAATACCATTCAAAGCAGCATCAAACCCAACTCACTCACTCACTCTATTGTTCCACATGAACTTATCAACTACCATGCCAAAGTCACACTTTACTACAGAGGCATACAGGGAAATAATGCACTTTAACAGTTATGCATGAAAGTATTGTTTTAATAGTATTTGTAGTATACAATATTTTAACCACATTTGGATCGGAAAGAAAACATAAAACAATTATACAATTGTGCGTAACACCCACAAACCTGATGTTTATCTCTTAAAGTACATAATGCTTCGGTCAAACTATGATAATGAATCTGAAATTGTTGTCGTTTAAGGATATAAAATAGTATCAGAGGTAACTAAAACTGATTACAGTAAATGCTTTCAACAAACTTATCACTAGAAGCATTATAATACTTATTTGTAGCATGAAATGCTATGACGTTATTGGTATGTTTTGTTTGTTTGTTTGTTCTTTAACGCCACACTCAGCAATATTCTATCTATATGGTGGCAGTCTGTAAATAGTCGAGTCTGGATGAGACAATCCAGTGATGGACATCATGAGCATCGATATATGCAATTGGGATACAATGACATGCATCAAACAATTCACGGATTCTAACCACCTGATCCTGTGTAATCCAAGCTGGCAAAGATTTATAAATGAGATCGAGTGAGTGAGTGAGTGAGTGAGTGAGTGAGTGAGTGAGTGAGTGAGTGATGTTAATAGCTGCATCCGAAATGTCTCCATAATCCACAATTTCAACCTATAAACAAACTCAACTTTTTGGTATGAATCAAGAATAATCTAAACACACGTAGATAGTATGATTGCTTGAAATTGCATAAATCTAAAGGATAAGATGTGACTTAACACTAAACCTTTTTGTCAGTATTACCACATTCATATTGTAAATGACATTTGAGTGGAGTGTTCTGGTAATTAAGGGATCAGAGTTGACTTTAACAGTACATTCAGTGATAGACACTGTATAGATATGTTACATGTGCCAGACAAAAACAAAGCAGTGCCTTATTCATACCACCCGAAACGCTGAAAAATAATACCTCCTCAAAATCACTGTAACAGAATAAAATATTCATGCAAACATGCATGTGTATGAACTGAGGTAGACCTAGGTACAGGATTCCTTCCTAATTGTACATTATCAAGACCATAAACCAACCCTGATATGAAAAGCACACCTCTGCTTAATCAAGCATATGACTTCCTCAGGTGAATTACTTACTGATGATACAAAGAGCAGGTGTGAAACACTAAACGAGTTTGTAAGATAGATAAAAATAACTGTAATCAATACCTGTATCAAAGACCATACATACACACAAAACAGGACCATTATTTCAAGCTACCACTGGAGTAGAATAGTACAACACCAATAGAATAATTAATGAAGACATGAATATGAAAATGCTGCTGGAATTACTAATGCGTTGGATATATTCTAAGCATGGAATATGTGTGCAGGGTGATAGCTGGTTTCACCAACTGAAGCTACATACACCACTGGCTATTCAACAATCCCAGTCAGTGTCCAGTTCATACACGCTTCATACTAGAGGTTGATGTGCCTCAGTGGCTTCACCTCAGGTGCATAGTCCAAGCAATGGATCTGTTATTGGGCTCCATGTAAGCCCAGTCAAGTGTTTGATGAAGTCCTGGCATCGCTCACCTGGAGTACTGGGCGCCTAGCTCTGCTGGTTGACGTGAGTTATCTACCTGTTCCACGCAGACAGCTGAAGGCGGCCCTTACTCACAGCGGGCAAGCTTCACAACACTTTTATCTACACTGGGAAACTTTGTAGGGATAGAAGTTATATACACTAACGACCAGCAGACTCCTCCTTACGCCATCCTGGGAATATAAGGATTTATCTCATGACGAGACGGATGTAATTACTTTTGCAAGATACACATTGCTAGAGAGAGTCGATATGTATGTACTTGTCTCGATTTCTTATCCAAACAGTGATTAGTTCTGTGAATAAACCTTAAGGAAAGCATAATTTGAGTGGATTGTGTAGTTTCAGCATTAAGATCTTATTTCTTTGACGATTGAAATGTGAACGTCTGCATTGTGGTCACGACTTGCATGTACTTACAGCTTTGTCACTGAAGAGGATTGTATGAATAGATGGGTTTATAACCCTTTGGATTCTGGTGAGTGTGAACTGTGAATTTCTTCTATGGATTATTTGTGGATTTTATGTGTGTCCTAACTGTGTGGAACAATATCATTTCTTCTGCTGACTATTTTAACAAACTGCACCATAAATTGAGGTTTACCACTTGTCCAAAACTGCGGACTGTTTGCAGGCGAGGAATCTTTCTTGAACGGATTGTTATCCATTATTGGTGAAGTAGCGAGTTCACCTCAAGACATCAATTCAAACTGAATTATAAAACTACCTGACAAACAAATGAGAATTGAATTTTATGTGATGTAATGTAAACAGTATTGTTAATTGGAGAAACAAAAGCTAACAACAGCGTACAATAGATTGAAGGAAGTACAGTGTCGTCGGTGTGCAGTTTGTCACGCTAGGTGATTGCTCTACAGCGCACGCTTTCCCACGCTCTCTGGTCCCATCTACTTGCCAGCGAGGTAAGTAGAAATTACGACAAGCACTGCCAAGGGGCACCTATGTAAAGAAGTCAACAGGCAGTGGACAGGTAGCCAAACATAGGCTGTAAATCTCTTTCATATCACTTATCACTGCTTATCAAAAGTGTATTTATCAACGTTTTACCTGAGAAGGCTGTTGGGAAAGCGAGACTTCAGAGCCCTATAGGTTTTATTTAGTATGCACACAGTCTTGAGAGCAGAAATCATGACCAGTACAAAGAACAGGGGTTACGATTAATGAGATGTTGTGTCGTGGAAATGAAACATGGTACGGAGGAAGAAGACACCGGTGTAGCTTACAGGATAAGGGCAGAAGGAAATAGGAGACACATAAGTAAATATACTCCAGAAAACACCTTGTGGGCTGACAAGGCCTATGCTTTTCCTTCAATTAGCAAATAAACAGTCTGGAGAGGGTCTACAAAATAATGAATTATGCAATGACATTAAGGAAAGGTGTAAGCACAGACACCTATGAGCTTTCTCACGCTTTGTGCCCTCCCCTGCCTCAGCTGGTCTCTCTCGACTCTGGTATAACCTGTTCTCAATTCAAGCCTCAACACCCTGCTTCTTGTCCGCTGCTACTCACATACATCAAGTAAACCTACACTGGCATTCTGAATAGCAGCTTGAAAAAGGTATACATAATAAACATATCAGTATTCTCCATTAAACTTGAAAAGAGCATTAGGTAGTCTGGAAACTGACAATACTATAGGTTTCACGCTGATGAATTGATTTAAAGCAGAGAAAACATAAAAGTTTTTTTATGGCTTGAGAAAATTTCAAGAGTATGATTAGTGTGTAAAAAGGGACTATCTTAATAAAATCTGTCCCATAAAACAGAAAGGAATCTCAATTGATGATAAATAATTCGCTAAATGAACATTTAATCATTCAGGATGACCCTACAAATTATGATAACTATGACTAAAGGCTCATATCAGCACAATTTCATATCATGTGAAGCATGTTATAATCTGTTATATAGTTTTCCACATCAATATTATCATGCAATTACAAATATTTATTATGTTGTTATAGAAAGCATGAATTTTGATTCTATAACCTTTATACACTTTTATATATTATTTGAAGGTGAGATAAAAAGGAACGTTTTCATGTGTTTTTATCATTTTAACCTCGTAAACATAATCATGTAGGATAAATCAGTCCTAGTACATTACATTTTCAATAAAATTATTCAAAATGAGAACTTTAAAAAACTTTATGTAGCAAGGGCGGAGCCAGCATTTTTAAATGGGTGGTGTCCAAAATATCCAAATCCTCTCAATTTCAATGCTTACAAGATACTACTTTTGGTTTTAAAAATGTGGGAGAAGACCCGGGTTCAATTTCTCAAGGGTACAGCGTGTGAAGCCCATTTCTGGTGTCCCCCACAATGATATTGCTGACATGTTGCTAAATGTGGCATAAAACCATACTCACTTATTTATTAGAAGTTTGTCAAAAGCAGTAACAATCAGGACTCCAAATAATGAATGAGGGAATAATAAAAATACCATGTTTGAATCAAGTTTGGAAATCCCATAAAGGGTCTATATGTTAAAGTACGCTTATCCTAGCAAGCAATTCTTTCCCACTGGCTATCTTAGGTGTCTTAAGTTGTCAAGTCAATTGCAAATAAATATAGACAGAGGTGAAGTGGTACACAAAATGACTTCCTCAGTTGTAAACACAAAGATACCCGAGATAGATAAACTGGCAACTATGGGAAATAGGGCAGTTCAGATTGATGTAGGTATATCATGTGCTAGAAAACATATATCCCTACAGTTTGGAAACTGATTCATTGTGCTCCTGCTTGTGCACCAATCGTGGTGTCGAACTGGACAAGTGGAGTCATCTGAGCAAATCATGATAACACACCCTGAGCATCATCCTAATTATCTGAAATGAGGCTGGGTGGCATTGTATTTTTGCACCATATCATAAAAAAGGAATTTGGTGCATTCCTTGTTTTAATTCCTATGCTATCTGCAAATGCAAGTTAACAACTTCTGGAGAAGTTGAACCTTCTTAAGTTCTGTTCAGTCTCAGGGTGCTGTTAAACAAAGGATCTTAGCGCTAAGGTGATCGTAACTCTCATACTTTAACATAGGCTTACAACCGTCGTAGCACTAAGGTTGTTTTGTTCAATGGCACCCTGGTCAACAAATAGCATGAAGTAGGCAAGTGTGAGGTGCTTCTTGGTCCAGAGTAGAATGTGTCATACATGGTTCTAGCAAACCACAAATATGTTAGAAGAGGATAGCAAAAAAACAAACACTTGGGAGTGACTTGTTCTATGGGGTGAGAATACAGAAACAATAGTAAGACCATGGAACTTCAATCAGCATTGTCAGAATTGGTAAAACACTAACTAGAACAAATATGACCTGAGCCATCTTCTCCAGCACTTATGTAGCAACATATATGCACTGTGTGTGACTGTACTAGTCAGGACTAATGCCGTTATTTTTAGTGCTAGCCCAATGAAATACCATGCTCCAGTTAACATGGATACCCCACTCAGACTCAGTATAATGACCATGAGCCAGTCAGACCTATACCAAAACATGACTACCCGGTATTTGATCCTTAGCAAAAGCTGAGAAGGATAATAGTATCTACCAAATTTGATGAAGACAAGGCATGTAATACTGACATGACCCTAATGCCATGGGCTCTGATATATTAGTGGAGAATGAGACATCGAGAATTTGCACCTGTCACCTTTTCTAACAAAGGTAAAGGTGGAACAGAATCAATGTTGGGAGATCTCAAAGCATCCCATATGAAAGAAGAGTCAGTCAGTGTACATACAGGTCACACCATATTGCCAAGATACTCCTCATCAAGGGTGGGGGCTAGGGAGGAAATACATTTGCTGGAAGTACTTTGCTCTGCTTCTTCTGAAATTGAAAACCAGAAGCCAATCACTCCTCAGAGATTCTTTTGAAAACAAGGCCATGGTCTCATTATCGAGCAGATAGTCAAATGGAGCATATTGCCTGAGTCAAGCAGTGATGGAAATAATGTTTCCAGTTCTTTACCTTTGGTGAAGGTAATCCACCTGGCTCCATCCAGTCCACCTTCTGCTTTTCTCAGTAGACCTGGGGCGGTCGGGTAGCCTAGTGGTTAAAGCGTTCGGTTGTCACGCCGAAGACCCGGGTTCGATTCCCAACATGGGTACAATGTGTGAAGCCCATTTCTGATGTCCCCCGCCGTGATATTGCTGGAATAGTGCTAAAAGCGGCGTAAAACCATACTCACTCATTCACTCTTAGTAGAGCAGAATCAGGCCGAAGAGATATAGGAAGCAACCCTGCTAGAAAACGTTGCTTTTGGACAGCATACTTGACAATCTCTGGGAGTGAAGGTCAAGGACACATGGATTGTTGCAACAAATCCAGAAGCCGGTTGAGTTACTTCATCCTACACTATGGGTATATCTTCCCAAAGCCCAGGTGACTCGACTGTGTCTTCACAAGTACTCGAGAAAGTAAACTGGTAACAATATTCCTTTCAAATCTAATTTAACAAAAAACAGTGTCTTGGGGCATGACATATCATTGTCATTGGACAAGGAAGAGAGTCCAAAATAATGAAACCATCAATTTCAACCCCCCAGAAATTACTGTTAGGTTACATGCATCATCACACAATCTAAAGGGTTGGAGTGACAGAGCAATATGTGATTGGGTTTGGTGATGAACAGATCCAGATTCGGATGAAAACCAAATTATGTATCTTTGTTACAGAAGCTAAGATTTGTGAAACATTTGTTAAGAAACTACATGAAAGTACAAATAGACAACTACAGAATGAAGCAACTGAAGTACTAATTCTTAATATAGTTTCACGATGCTTAAACACCAACAAATTCATGCATTACATGCTAATGACTATTACACTCCATTAACCAAAAGTTGGAGGCAATTAGCACAGGCAGCCACTGCAAATGAACACCTGCAAATGTCTATGTTTGAGAGTCTATCCTATTATTTTTAACAGTGTGAAAATCATTATTTAGTACTGTTGCTAAACCTGGAAAGGGTAGACTTGAAAAGAGGTTTGAAAAAAAAATGTCTTTCATCTATGGCTCATTGCAAGTGTATTAGCCTGTAATTTTCATTTGAAATTATCACCTCATCAGAAGTCTATTTCACTGTAGCACCTTCTTTAGGTTCAGATAATTCATCTACATAAACTTAGTTGAAGGTAAACTGTAACGCCATTTTCAACAATACTCATAGTGTTTTAACAGAAATTATTCTACAAGTACCTCATTCATTTTTAAGTCCATCAATTGTGTGTTAGACTTAAAGTAATTATGATGATGATTTCTTTTCCCTCAGACTGCTTTCCTCACAACTCTTTATCCAACACTGAATGGTATGCTCATTCCCATTATCGTAGACCAGAAAAACATTTTGATAATTGTGATTTTTCACCTATTTCTTTAATCTGTATACATATTGGGTTGAATGGTAAGGCCCGTCACTGTGATGGAATAAGTATTTCAATATTTACTCTCAAATGAATTATATGCTCTTTACAATCAAGGTGTTAATAAAATTGAGTGAATGAGTGAGTATGGTTTTACGCCGCTTTTAGCAATATTAATATTCCAGCAATATCACAGCTGGCTTCACACATTGAACCCATGTCAGGAATTGAACCTGGGTCTTAGGTATGATGAGCAAACACTTTAACCACTAGACTACCGGACCGCCCTCCTAATAAAAACTATTTGTCTGTTTCTAATCCTTTTCCATTTGTGAATAAAATATGTTTAAGTTAAACTAACATAGCATCAGTATAGTTTCATTCATTGTTGAAATAGTTGTGGTATGATAGATGAGTGACATTTCATATTATAAATACATAAAATATATACTACAATACCATGAATATTCGAATTGGTATTGATTTAGTATAATATTTGACAACATGGCCACAAAAATAGTTTTTTT